AAATACGACAACCAGCTTGAACCATTTTTTTCGGAGCCGTCCAACAACAAGGATGTAGGGTATTATCTCTTAATATTAAATTTGATACTAAATTTGAAAGGATTGAGACAACACGCTAAATCATGTTAAGCATATGGTGGCTAAATTAAAGAAAACTATTACTAACAAAAGCACTTCCTTCCATTCTTGAGGTTTTTGCTTTCCTTCGGAAATAAATAAAAAACTTAATTCTTTCCAATTGTGCAATGTGAAAGTAAAAAAATGTATGAAAAAATATGGTGACCAATACAATATCCAAGAGACATGTTCTAAGAATGTCGCTAAAACGTTCAAAGGATATAGGATCATCCTTTGGAGTTTGGAGATCCGTGCTGTATAAGCAAAGCTGTATTTACGAGATAATTTATTTGTGCGATTATCACTTTCCTATTAATAAACATAGCGTCGTAAAACTGTCAAAAAAAAAGACAAGTTTTTCTCTACATTGACTATTTTATTCATTTCTAAAAAGTCAAGCCTTTTTTTCACGAGTCATTGATTTTCCGTTCTTTCTCTCTTTTTAAAAAAATGTCTACCTGGATCCAAGTAAAAGGATTCGTAACAAATATAATATATATAAAAATGGACCGAAACTGTATTGTTATAAAACAATTAATATGAGGAGATAAGGGCAATGAGCCAATAATTCCGTTAAAATCTTTTTAAATAAATCTAATATATATTGCGAAGAATATCACATAATTATGGCGTTTCGTCCCAACTTCCACTACTGGACTTATCAGTAAGACATTGTAGTGGAAGCCTACCTTAGACGCCTGTTTAAGTTATTAAATCGAGATTCTATATATACAGATATACGCGTATCCAAGCACTTGCGAGAATTTTTGCGAATATCTATAGACCTCTGATGGCGGGTCGACGTAGTAATATTCTTCGCAATATTTATTTTTAAAGTAATATGTGCAAATCCCCTTCCCCCCCCCCCCCCCACCTGCGCGCCGAACAATCGTCGGTCTTGAAACGCAACTCTATCTGAAAATTCCCCCCAAATTGCGCGCCGACCTATCGTCGGTCTTGAAACGCAACTCTAATAATCTGAAATAACGTCCCATTAATATACTTGTAATTTTAAACGCATTATTTTCGCCCGCGTAATTTTTGTATTGTTATATTTTTATTTATTCTTTTTCATTTAATATTAAGTAATACATTTATTACCAAATACTCTGTATATTAAAGAATTAAACTTTATAATAATTTTCAGTGACTTAACATTTACTTCAACGCTCTTTTTTTATATAATATTATTTTTTATTTTTATTTTCTCGGCTATATTTATGATTCGTTGAGGTGTCAATCTGCACTAGATAAAAATTTATATTAGACGAAGAACAGCTATTAATAAACTGCACAATATCAACTTACTCCTATTAGCAAAGTATTGGATAAAACTTCCAGTAGCTGTAAACTTTTTGTTTACGTAGAAAATGTCGTCAGTAAGATGTTAGCAGAAAATCACGAAGGTGAAGTATCGCGAGGATGAATCGAGCCAGTGCACGTGGATGCAAACAGATAGAGGACTAAACGCCCCGCCGCACACGTACGATCTTAAGCTTAGCTTAAGACGGGATCACGCAGCGGGTGCTTAAATGCTGATGTAATCGCTGCACCGATTCCCCGAGTCCTGATAATCGCATCCCCGATATTTAGATTTCATTCTTCGTCCATTAAGACCGATAAAAAATATTATAATTTATACAGAAGATTAGCGACGATACGATTTAGGATATCCAACCGAGAAGCAGATCGGTTAAAGATTCGAGGCGATACGGCACACAGGTCGATCATATTGTAGGAGGAGACTTTTCATATTTATTCCACATCGGAAAACATGTTATGCACGAGACGATAATGTCGGGATGAAGCTGGCAATGGTGACGTTGAAGAATACTTGAATCTCAATATTGCTGGTTTCTGGAGAAGTCGCTCGTTACGTACCGAAGAAAACGAAACGTCGGACGCCGTAAAGTTCGTTAAAAGGTCGACGCACGTCGGCCGTGATTATAAATTCAGGTTGAAACTTATAATCGTGTTTGTTTTAATTAGAACCGCAGCGTGCGCCGGGCTCATTTAAGACTTCGAGTTTGCACCAGCTCTCCCGTCCCTCTCTCTTCCCTCTATCATCGTGGCGTTCCCTCTCTCCCGCCCCTCTCTCTTTCTTTCTCTCTCACTCACTCTCTCTTTCTCATCTTTTCTCGCATGGCTCGCTCGCCTCTGTTAATTTCACGTGAAGCATTAGCACGTTAATAAACGGTTATTTATTGACCCGCTCCCGCGATCATTTATTCCTGCGTCTCGTTGCATTTTCCGAGCTCGTAGCCTTTTCTATCTCTTAAATTAGGCATCGCTTCGCATCGAGGAAACGCACCGCTCATACATAAATCTACACGTGATCGTAGCGCACGATGTTTAATAATGGTGTGCAGCTATGGCGAAGCAATGTAAAATATTTTGTCATGAGAAAAGATAAAATATAATATCGAATATTGTGCATCTGAAAATAATAATAAATGAAGAACTTGAATTATGTTTCAAACTGACGTAAAATATATTAGAAAAATTTCTCTTCACATAGTTTATTAATATAAATAATATTTAATAAGTTGTGTTTTCTAAGAGATAGTTGGAATTATAAAAAGATTGCATCTAATTTTAGCAATTTAGTCAACACACGTATATGTGTGTCTATAAAAATATAACTCGATGATTATCGTGGAAATTTTTATGTTTCATCTTAACGACAAGCAGCCGAGAATTATTCCGTATTACGTCATTCTTCGCCGAGAACTATCTTATTTGAACGACTAATAGAGGGGACAGATTTTCCGCGGATAAATTTCAAATCGCTAACAAATCCGATCTTGCGCATCGTTCGCTCGGCAAAACACGCTCATGCAAGGCCCAGTTTCGCATGAATGAAGCTCTTTAGTCCTACGCACCATATCGCATAGGATACGAACGCAAGCCGGTGTGTAATCATGTACGGATTAGGACGATGACATTTTGTTGAACGTCCTTAAATGATAATACTCCGAGTAGGTATCCACTGTTTAATTTGCTGTTACAATTATTCTGTAACTCGAGCGCATTTAACAATAATGTATTTAACATGCACAACTAAAGACATGAGTTTAAAAATTTTTAAGTGATGTTTTTTTAATATCCTATATATAATAATACTGATTGTTAGTATATTTTATTTTTATTTACACAAAAATATTTTAATTGAGTAAATATAATTAGATAAATAAATACATCTACATATATAAAAAATGTGTATTTTAGATTAAAACTTATATATTCATTACAATGAAATTAATTGTTTCAAAATAAATTAATGTTCTCTCTGGCCTAATAAATGAATTAAGAATATACATTTTTACTATCTGTAACTAAAGAAATTGCTTACTATGCTGGTGAAATTAAATACTTTGATAATATCGATAAATATTTATATTTTCAGTTAATGATAATATGTATACACACACATCTCTTTTGAAGCGAATGCTTTTTGATTGTCATGATTTTATATATTTTTTGATATATTTTATCATTGTGTCTTACTACAGATCATAGTTTACCATGCTGATTTAACATATTTACCGAGCGATTCAAGTTTTACCTGTACCGATAATTGGTAAATATACCATACGTGCATGCAGTTTTACTATACCATCTTTTGTAATAAAAATTTTATAAAAATTTACAGATATAAATGTCTGTATTTCAATAAACATATAACATTAATCGTATTAAATATAAACACTGTACATATACATTATATATACATTGTATATATATTATATATATATATATGTGTACATATTGTATATAACATAACGCATCCAAAGGAAAGCACATATAATTAAGTACTATAATTTCATTGATGTTATTTTCTCATTAAATTTGACCCGTGTGAAACTGGCCCCCCAATATTAAAAAATCGATTTTTTTTCTTCATGCATTCGTTTGCTCATCGTTTGCTCACGAATGCTCAGTTGGAATTTTCGTTTGCTCACCCTTAGTTCAAAAGATACAAGAAAATTAAGTTTTGGTATCGAATTAAAAAATCGATTTTTTTCTTTATGCATTCGTTTGCTCACAAATCTTTTGAACTTATTTAAACGTAATAGTAGGACAATCTATGAGCTACCTTTCTATGAAATTCTTATATTTTTGGTGATACTTTGAAATATAACACATACATTCTTAAAACTTTAATTGTCATATCCACACCATATACATATAACATTCGCAATCGTTATAATCTTTATGTTGTGTTGAATAATGTGATCGCTAGAATTGAAAGAAATCTCAATATTGGTTTCATCGAGTTCTTTATTATCTATCCATATGTTAAAATGCATGATACTATGTACATAATACAACAAAATAATACTATAATCAATATGTTCTAAAAATGTATAAACATAATAAGTCAACATAAAAAGAAAAATTATTCGTCAGAAAAACATTTTGACTTGAAGAATATGACTTTATCTTTTAAAAGTAGCAACAATTTTTTTATAGCTTATAATTTTAAAACCAATATGTGCATTATATATATATATTTTTTAAGTCATTTTTTCACGTATCAACATGTATTCGTTATCAACATATATTCGTTTTATTTTAATTTTGTGATCTTTCTTTTATTGTTTGCACAACATTATGTATTTCATGCATAAGATAAAAATATTTTTATGATTTAAAATAAATGATTTTTATGTTAAATATAAAAAAAATATAAAAAAAGTAATACAAAATGTAAGTATTAAACTTAAAATTATATTTCTTGTGTTTCTATATAAGCACTATTACGCTTCGCTAACAAATCACAACTCTATACAGGCTATTACAGCTTGAGTTTTAATAAACATTGAAGGATGAAACTATCATTTCTGTCACTGGCTTTTGCCATTATTTTTATTACAGCGATCATGCACACAGTGGAAGTAAACGCCGTTCCTGAATCTAATGCAATCGGTAAGTCCGATCCTAGGGCATGCCTTACATGGTAAGCATTAGCCTTTTTATGCGGTAAAAACATCTTGTATTTGTATTAGAAACGGTTCACTCACGTTCTTGTTAACCGTTTGTATTGAATTTTTTAACATATTCAAATGTTAATTTAATACAATACTAGCACATTCCTTGCGCGCGCTACGCGCGCAATGGTCCATTATGCTCTTTTTAAATATTATGAATTATGTTTCTTTGAAACTTGTTTTGAAATCAACTCCTCTAATTCCTACTAATACAAAATTTCCCTGAAATTTGAAAACCTTTAGAATTTCATTATTGTTTTCGATCGCCACATTAATTCTACCATTTTGATAAACAATATTTAGTTTATTTTTTTATTCACCGTTTATGTCGAAAAATTCGACCCACAGTGTAGTTGTGCTGGTTCGCGTACAAGAGTAAAATACATTAAAGCAATCAATTGCCGGGATCATTTTGGTCTCAAAATGTTTCTAGAATTATTTGCTCTAAGAATATCCAGAATCCGATATTTTGCTCATCGTTTACGTCGAAAAATTCGACCCACAGTGTGGCTGTGCTGGGTCGCGTACAAGAGTAAAGTACATTAAAGCAATCAATTGCCGGGATCATTTTGGTCTCAAAATGTTTCTAGAATTATTTGCTCTAAGAATATCCAGAATCCGATATTTT